CATTTTTTTTACTTAAAATATAGAAACTGAGAACGAACTCGGTTTGAGAACTTCCCTCAAGTAGGATAGAGTTTTGTCTTTATTCTTTTTTGAGAACTCGGTTTGGAATCCTGCCAAGTTAAGTCCAATAATAAGTAACTGTTGTTTTATGAAGTGTGTGTTTAGTGGATTATGCAGGTGGGTATTGTTTATTAGCAAAATTGTATGTTACTTTTATCTTAATAAAGAATTGTGCGTGAGGCTTCCGGCCGCTAATTGAAATTTTTTTTTTTCATAAGTTTTAGCATTTATATGTATTATCATAATAGGAGAAAATTGGTAAATAAGAGTGTCAATTTTAATTTTTTTTATTTAAGAACGTTAATTTTATCAATTTTTAAATAAATGTGTCAACTTTCAATTTTTTCTATTTAAATTTTAAATTTTTTTATTTAAAAGCGTTATCTTTATCAATTTTAAATAAATATGTCAACTTTTAATTTTTTCTATTTGAGAATTAATTTGATGATAATGCTAACATGACAAATAGATTTTTTAATTAGAATATTAAAAGGTTAGTATTCTTAAATAAAAAAATTTGAAAGTTGATATTTTTAAATAAAAAATTAAAAGTTAATATTCTTATTTAAAAATTAATAAAATTAACATTTTAAAATAAAAAAGTATGAAGTTTATATCTTTATTTGCACTTTTTCTTTGATGATAGTTCAGATACTTCTCTGGTTACTTCCTTTCTTTTCAAAATATACATTGTTTATTTTTTTTTCACATAATTTTAAATAATATTTGAATGATAATTAAAATTTTTTTTTTAACAAAAAAGAAGAGCTATCTTGTTTCGGATAATCCATTATCAAATATTAAAAAAAAAATTGAAACTAGTAATTACTTTCTACATAACCATGTGATTAGGGAAGGACAATGCCTATTTTGGTCACTTAAATTTAAGGTTTTAAATAGTTTTGATCTCTTAATTTTTTATATACTTTTTTGGTCTTTTAACAATGAAAAATATATTTTTTTAATCCTTTTATCAGCTAATTTATTAAGTTTATTTATATATACATATTTTTAATCCTTTAACTTTAGAATTTTACATAATTTTTGTCCCTCAATTTAAAAGTTTATGAACTAAAAATGTGCGTACATAGATATACTTAACAAATTAATTGAAAGAAAAAAAGTGTATTTTTTTTATAGTTGAGAGACTAAAAAATTGCATAAAAAATTAAGGGATTAAAACTAACAAAAACCTAAAATTGAGGGACCAAAATTCACATTTAACCATTTCGTTATTCGGGTGTTTTTTGGGTCTTAAAAGGGAAAGCAGACTCACAAGGGGACTACTGTCTACTACCTTCTTTGAGGGCTTGAAAGGCAAGGTTAACATGGGCCCAAGGCCTTAGGATCACACTACCCAAAAAAAAAAAAAAAGAGAAAGACTCATTGGCTGCATTTTTATTTTTGCGTTTGCACCAAACGCCAGGCAAAAAGGTTAGACATGGGCCCAAGGCCTTAGGATCACACAACCCAAAAAAAGAAAAAAAAGAGAAAGACTCATTGGCTGCATTTTTATTTTTGTGTTTGCACCAAACGCCAGGCAACTAGGGTTTTTTAATTTTTTAAATTTTTTTATTTATATATCAGTATTTTACAAAACACAAGTAACTTCTTACATTTTATTTGACAAGTGCAAGAAATTAATTAAAAAAGGGCGGGCTGGAAACAGCGCCTAAAACTAAACTAAGATTAAAATAAAAAAAGAAAAGGGCAACAAAGGGAACTAGAAAGCATCTCCCCAAACCTTCTAAAAAAACAATGTCGTTCTCCTTTTTTCCCAAGAGTTTCTCGACAAGCTCATTTCCTATTCTAATTCCAATTTCGATTTTGGATTATTCTTGTTTTTGATTTCATTCCCATTTTGATTCCCAAGAGTTTTTCCACAAACTCATTTTTTATTTTAATTCCAATTTTGATTATGATTATCCTCATTTCAGATTTCATTCTCATTTCGTTTCCAAGAGTTTCTCCACAAGCTATTTCTGATTTTAATTCCAATTTTTCTGACGTTTCAATTGAAGGTTCCCCTCCATTTCATTCTCATTTTCAATTATCCTCATTTCCAATTATTTTCATTTCTGATTGCATTTTCAATTAAATGCAGTTTTTTTGATGGGGACGTTTCTTGTACATAATAAATATATATTTATTTCTTAATTTTGTTTTCTGGCTCTACCTTTGCATGTAGGTTACGATTTTGCTATATAATTTAATATTATTTAGGGTGGTTGGGAAGAATATTGATTAGCTTTGTACATGTGAAGGTAAAAGGTCTCACAGGCAACACATGCAAGGAAAGGATTATTACTTTACTTTAAATTGTTAATGTTACATCTTTTAAATATAATTATGTATTATATTCTTTCATTACATTTTGTTTCAAAAATTTATATTTTTTTTTATTTTTTAATAAATTAAAAAAATATAATAATTAATTAAAATAAAAAAAAATATAATCTTGATAATTGAGGGTGCATTAATAGTATCACCCAACTTTACGCCTCCAAACAAAACTCGAACTTACTTTCAACCTTTTGTTTTGTTTCTTTAAAAATTAGTGTGAGTTTTAGATCAAATAGTGATTCGAAAACTTATTCACTACACTTAAAGTGATTAGGTAGAGTATTTATTGCGAGAAAGCATCAAAGCTTCTCCATTATGCAGTTGAGGGTTTTCCCTCTTCTCTTTTTTTTTTTTTGTGAAACAACAAATAAGGAAACTATATATCAATCTTGGCCACACAGTAATTAAAGTCTTACCAAGATCACATACTGAAGATGTGGTTGGACTTGACCTAGATGATCCGGTCAACATAAGAATTTATTAGTATTAATAAGAAAAATACAAGTTAAAATTTACTCGCAATGCAAGATTGATCTTTTTCATCTTTGAAACTTGCTTAATTGTTTGGTCTAATAATAAAAGCTAATTTATTAGATAATAATTTTCTTTCAAATAAAAATACGAGAACTTAGACTTTTATATTTTAATAATTATATATTTTACAATATTTTTTAAATTTACTATTAACACACAAAATATTGACACACAAAATATTGTAAATTTATTTATTTTATCTAATTTTACCAATCCACAGCTGCTAGTGTACTTGAAAACATCAATTTATAAGTTAATTTTAAATTATTAAATAATAAATATTAATTGTTGTCCTAACTTAAAATTAAAATATTATTTCTCATTTTAATAAAAAAATTTCATCTAATAAAAAACTAACGTGGACGAGTACAATTGCCTACTGTTAGCGCGTCAAACCAGAGACCCCTCCCTCGCCCGCTCTACTCTATAAAAGCCAGCTTGCCTTAATTAATTTTCTCCATATAG